GGCGCCGGGGCCAGCCTCGGCGCGGGGCTTGGGGGGCCGGGCAGCGGCTGGCCCTGCTGGGGGGGCTTTGTTAACCCGCGGGGGGGTCTTCCCTGACGTGCCGCGCGGCGGGGTTGGTGCCTGCGTGCTCCTTGCGCCTCCCCAGGCTGGTGGCTTTGGCAGTAAAGCCCCGTTTCCGTTCTCAGATGGCGTGGAAGGACCTGGCCTGCCCCCTTTGCAGCACGAGCCTCGACGTCTGCGATGAAGCAGAGTTTGCGACTTCTGGGAAAGCGCTGAAACGGTCTTTTTATTTGTTGTTTAATGGGTGTGAGGGAGGGGAAGGACACGGAGCGGGTCCCGGCTGCTCGCTCGTCCACGCTTGCGCCGGCGTTTGTACAATTCTTTTGTTAATAATAGCTTGTGCATATTCTAGGTTTTCCACTTTTCTTACACGTTTTGGGGGTTGTTTTGTGAATAAATAAAAGCCCGTTTAAAGTGTGCTGAGAACTGGCGCGCTTGTTTCTCTATAAACGCCTCGAAGGCGCCGCAAAGGCAAACAGATGAGGAACGGGTGGAGCCCCAAGCCGAGAGAGGGGGGCTCAGTTATGGCTGGGTGCTGTCGGCGCAAAGCCCTCGCGCGTCCCCGTCTCCCGGCCGGGAGCAGAGCTCGGACCCCGGTTCCAGGCCTGGTCTCCTCCGAGCTCGGGGGAGCGGGTTTGGCTCTGGCTCCTGTTTCGTTCCCGGCTCGCTCTGGCAGCCCTGGAGGCTGCTTGAGTCGGGTGTATCGCTGTTGCGCAGCCGTAGCGGCTCTGCAGTGCTGGCGGCCGTAAATTTGGTGCTGCTTGCTAACGGCGGAGGAGCAGATGGGAAGAACAGGCATCCTGGGAGCTTCTGGGGCTGCAGACCCTGCTGGCGCGTGCCGCGTGCCCGCAGCCTGCTGCAGGGACAGGCTGCTGCTGCAGGGCAGCTGCAAAGGGCTGCGCAAGGGGAAGAGGGCTGTCAGAGCTGCCCGCAGCCTGATTCGGGAAGGCTTTTCCGCCGGCAGATCCCCAGCCTGCTCGGAAGGGCTCCGGCTGTGTCCTGTGGTGGTGGTTTGAGCAGTGACGTGCTGCGATGTGACACATGTCAGCCGCTGGACCTCTGCTAGCATCAGGGAAATGTCCAAACGGGGGACGGTGTCGCTCCGAGGATGCTCCAGATCCCCCTTGGGAGGATCAGCAGGCTGACGGCTGCTGGCTGCCCACCGCTCGCCGCAGCAGGCGTCCAGGCACCTTGCTCTCAGCCCAGACTTCCACCCGTGGGGAAACTGAGGCACAGAAGCATTTTTGCAGGCAGTCCCCCGCAACACAATTAGATGTAGGCCTTGCTCTAACCTCGTTTTCCTTGATGCCACACTGCAGGGGGGGTGCGTGGGTGAATAAACAGATGGGATTTTCCCCCCTTTTCCCAGGCTCCTGCCTGCTTGGCTGACCAGCCTGCTCCCTGCTCTCTCCTCCCATCTCTCTCCCCCGCTGTCACCGTCGCCTCCTGCTTCCAGGACAGCTGGGTGACGCCTGGGTCCTGCTGGGAGCAGGAGGGAGACAGCGCTGAGCTCTCCAGAAGCACCTGGGGCCCTCCGCAGGCGGCACCA